CTATTCTATTCTATTCTATTCTATTCTATTCTATTCTATTCTATTCTGTATTCTGACCTTTCCCCCGTATTATTCGCATTTCTGTGAAGAACCCATAGTTCTCTGCCTCTAGACTGAAAGTCTTAAGGCGATCACCAAGGGGATAATAAAGAGAAACGCCCGACGAACTCCGGAGCGTCTAGTCGTTTTTAACAGAGATCGTGCGAGCGACGACCATGCGCCCGTTCACCATCGCGGCCAAAAAAGGCTTCCCTCAAAACTGGAGACGCGAGGAAAGTTTCGCCTCCATTTGGGCCTAACGATACACCAGATGACCGCTAGAGGGCAGAGAGAGCAGCGCTGAAAGGGAGGAGAGGCTCGACCGGTTGCGGCATCAGCCACGACGAGATATGCTACATAATAAAGTCCGTTGCTTGGCGGCTTCCTCCGTGGGACTAAAAAAAAAGGAAGAAGTTAAGGTCAGCCTCTCCAACTTTCCGCGAGTCATTCCCGGAAGCTGTGTCTCGTGGAGCGGTTTGGCCTCTCCTACTCCGCATTGAGGGAAAGGACTCCTTCGGAAGAGCCCTGCGCGTTTCTTTCTCCTTCTTGTTTTTTTTTTTTTTTGCAACGACCGGCTGCGTTTCTCCTGCGAAAGATCGCGGGCGGGAGAAGCGCACCGCAGATCATTCCTGAGCGGCGGAGAGCAAAGGCGACGGAGCTGGAAAGCAGGTTTGTGATTGAGGAGCCCCGTCCATCCCATCTCTCGCGCTTTGGAATAGTGTGGCATGCCTCTCCGCTCCAATTTCTCCAGTTAACACCCCCCCGCCAACCCCGTGATTTGGTTAGGTGTCATTCCCAGAACCCAACTCACAAACCACAAAGGTGGAGGGTCAATCTAAGCAAGCCATACCATGGTTGTGCAAAATTCTGGCTTCACCCGCCTCCCCTATGGTCTTGTGCACCTCCTCTGCTCTAGTTTCTTCAGTAAACCATCATTGGTTGGTTGGTTTGGTGTCACAGCCAGAACCCAACTCACAAACCACAAAGGTGGAGGGTCAATCTAAGCAAGCCATACCATGGTTGTGCAAAATTCTGCCTTGACCCCCCTCCCCCATGGTCTTGTGCACCTCTGGTCTAGTTTCTTCAGTAAACCATCATTGGTTGGTTGGTTGGGTGGTTGGTTTGGTGGTTTGGTGGCACACCCAGAACCCCATACCCTAAACCTCATGGTGGAGGATGAACCTCATGGTGGAGTCCATACTACGCAGGAGTAAACTCGTCCAATGGCTAGATCAGCTAGAACAGGGGTCTCCAACCTTGGCAACTTTAAGCCTGGAGTTGAAGTCCTCCAGGCTTAAAGTTGCCAAGATTGGAGACCCCTGTTCTAGCTGATCTAGCCATTGGCTGAGTTTACTTAAAGTTGCCAAGGTTGGAGACCCCTGAGCTAGAAGGCGTGTGTTAGCGATGATCCCACATCTCGGTCTCTTTCCTTCTCCTTCAGTTGCTGCTGTGTGATTCAGGATGGGGTCGAAGGTCTCTGTGGATGATTCTGTCCGCGTGGTCATAGTTGGAGGCGGCTTCGGAGGAATGGAAGCTGCCCGCCTCCTGCAGGATTGGGGGATCCCTTTCATCCTGGTGGACATGAGAGATTCCTTCCATCACAATGTGGCTGCTCTGCGGGCTTCTGTACAGAGTGGTAACTTTTTGTGTGGGATTTCCTTTGTTTCTTTTGAGCTGTCTTTCCTCCAATTCGGGGCTGTCTTGTGTAGATATATTGAATCATAACTTCCTTTGACTCTAATATGTTTGCAATCCCAGAGGTCTGGAAGGCACCAGCTGGTGAAAACTTTGTTTTAGGATAATTAGGATAAATTTAGGATAATTAGGATAAAACCGGCTTCATGAGGATGCTGCAACAGTTATGCGTGAAAAACAATTATGCCACTTTTTCTCAGTGCCATTATAACTGTGAATGGTCACTAAAGAAATAGTTGTAAGTCAAGGAGTTCCTGTATCCTTTGCCTCCAATCAATATGGTTGTAATCCCAGATATCTGGAAAGTCCATCTTGTGAAAATACAGAATAGAAATAGAAATCGAATTCTTTATTGATGAAGTGTGATTGGGCACACAAGGAATTTGCCTCCAGTGCATCTGCTCTCAGTGTACATACAAACAGAATAGAGTACAGAATAACAGAGCACTTAGGTAACCTCTGGCGTCATGGGATAGATTTGATGGTTCTCAAACATTGGGGAAAACAAATGAAATATCAAGGCAATTAAAGTAGCAAAAAGTCCATTTATTTGTGTAGATTGGACCAGTGGTTTTCAAATAGGAATACTTATACCACTAGTAGGACTGAGAAAAAGTTATCTAGGTAGGACACTTTAATGATTTATTCTGATTTTATTTATGCCTTGAAAGCGTAGCATAAATGTGCAAATAATGCTGATACATTTTCTCATTAAAAGTGTTTGTATGCTGTTATTTCCACAGTACTGACTGATGAGGCTTAAGGTATGAAAATTTGAGAATCCGCACACTTTAGATGTGTTAAAAGTTTTGTGGAGGTCCTTGACACCCTGCTCTTTAATAATTACTACTGATCCATTTTTTTTCCCTGCATAATGTTGTAGGATTTGCAAAAAAAACCTTTATCTCCTTCTCTGAGACCTTCAAAGACAGTTTCCAGCAGGGCAAAGTAGTTGAGATTGATTTGGAGAAACACCAGGTCCTACTGAACGATGGTAAAGTGAGTGCCTGTAAAATTAAATGTGTTACTAGTGAAAGAGTACACAACTTCTGCAACAACTGCAACTTCATTCTGATATTCTTTCTTAGGTGCTTTCATTTTCTCATCTGATCCTTGCCACTGGGAGTGAAGGGCCCTTTCCTGGGAAGTTTAATGAACTTATTAATATGGAGATGGCTATTCAGGCTTATGAGAACATAGTGAAAGAGGTGGGTATGATTGGTAGAAGTGAAAGGGGTGTTCATTGCTTTTGTTTTCCTGTGAAGTGTGTATTAGTTAATTTCTTGGTAGGGACCATCTGTGGCTGGTTTATGGTATTTATATAATGCTTGTTATTGATTCCAATCACATTTTTGTTTAGCAATCTATTTTAAAAAGTATGACTTGGGCTTTCAAATTAGCCACCTCATCTCATTCACCATGCAGATAAGAATCTTGGCCTGTGGTTAAGATTGCTAGCAATTGGTAATATTATTACTGCTACTATTATAAAACATTTAATTGGACTTCTGCCCCACCTCACTTGAAAATTTGCCATTTTTTCCCATCGGTTTATGAAACATGCTTAAATATTCTCAAAACAGCTTGTTTAGTGGCATCCATAAAAAAGGAATTTATTTATTTTTTAAGTAGGAGCATTACTATGATGAATAAAGGTAACGTAAAATGTATCAATTGTATGGGAAAGAGAATGGTTACTTAAAGTGATTACAGTGTTTTTAATTACAATGTTTGCTAACTTGGAGATAAACTATTGTGAATGAATTTACAGGCTATTTCTCAACACACGTAGGTAGAACTGAAGCAGAAGATTCTCTGTTGCATAACAGAAGTCAAGTTCTGTAGTGCCTGAAATATTCGAGGAAATTAAATTAATCAAAATTCAGCTTAGAAAACGTATACAATCACTCAATTCATGTAATCGTGACTCTGAACTATGGACATCAAACTAAAAAAAAATGGTGACCAACCTAAATTTAATCTCACATCGCTCTCCTGGGACACGTATATTTGCTTTCATTCGTAAAACAATAAAATAAGATATTTCATTTTCATACAACCATTACAATTTTTCATACAACCATTGCAGCATTCCTAAGATGACGTGATCAAAATCCAGATGCCCAGCAACTGGTTCATATTTATGACGGTTGCAGTGTCCCTTAAGACAGAGGACAACAAGGCAGAACAAAATTTCCGCAGAACACACCAGGCCAATGCCTGGGCGGTTAAAGCAGCTGCACCCACCTCCTTTTTCACTAGGACACCCCTTCTCTGGCTTCGCCAATTACAAGCTAGGATTCTCCCTGAGGAAATCAGAATGCATCAGGACATCAACAAACTGGTGGCGGCGGCTGAATTCAGTGGCCGACTCCTCCCTGCATGCAGCCCGATTCTCCTCCAGGGCCCCGGCCTCCAACATCACTTCTCTTCGTCTGCTGTGGCTACGACAGTGGCAAGCAGATGCTAGAACCAAATGGAAGCCAAATGTGATCGTTTTTGCGACGTTCTGACAAGCAAGTCAATGGGGAAGCCAGATTCACTTAACAACTTGAAAACTGCAGTGATTCACTTAACAACCGTAACAAATAGGACCAAACAACATAAATTTTGGGCTCAGTTGTGGTAGCAAATTGAGGACTATTTGTAAACCATACAAAATCAAAGAAAAGAAGCAAAACCCAAAGCCAATATATCTAATTTTACTCAACCTGGAAAACTCCCTGAATCTGAGAAATTGCCAGGCGGGCTGGAAGGAAGAGTCAAGCAAGGGCCTAGCTTGGTATCCTTGTGCAGTCACAAGTGACTGAAGCTTGAACTCTTCAAGGTCCATGAAGCCTTATCTGGTCATTCCCAGGGGAAGGCAAGGGGGGATTCTTACAATAGAAGTGGTAGATTATTAATAGAGTTACTGACTTTAGTTATTCATGAGTGGCTCTGATTGCCTGCGGCTGACAGTAATCTATGTAAGCTGCATTGAAATCACTGAGCTTTTATTCTGGGCGAGTACATACAAGCTTATATCGTATCAACATACTTCATTTATGCTGAAGATGCCACCTTGGGTGTGTGGAAGTGAGGAAGACCAATTTTATTACTGACAAGATGAAATATTATCCATCATATCAATTCTGCTATTATCTCCAGTGTGACTATTATCAGTTTGAACCACTTAAGATAGTCAAGCTGTAAGTGCTACAACACTAATCTAATGCAACACTCCCTCCCTATTTCTATAAAGAGGAGCATAATGTTTGCAGTTAGAAATTTGTGAGAAAAAGCAGGTTAGGCATACCCAAAATTTGCCTTGGGAATTTTGGATCATTTGGTTGAACATAGAATAGACCAGTGATTGCGAAACTTTTTGTTGTAGTGTAACGAAAGTGCGCATGCTGGCAACCCCCCTTACCTGCACTGCGCATGCGTGCGCCTCCCAGCTAATTTCAGACATGATATTCTTCCGATTAAAATCGGAATTCCGATTTTTTTGGGAATCGCCCCCCCTTTCCCCCCCGTTCTTCTCCTCCTTCCCCTCCCCTCGGAGGCCCCGAGTCAGGAGTTGCTACCGCCGGCGTGGCTCTGCATGGCTCCAGTCCTGCGTTGCCTCAGGAAGGGAAAGGCAAAAAGGAAGAGCCGCGGCGGCGCTTTGCAACGGCAGCAGCGGCTCCTGGTTTTGCCTTTCCTTTCCCAAGGCAACGCGGGACTGAAGCCGCGTGGAGCCGCGCCGGCGGTAGCAACTCCTGACAGCCCCAGCCGGATACCTGAGCGGAGCCCGGGCGGGCGGGCGGGCGGTGCGAGCGGAGCCCGGGTGGGCGGTGTGAGCGGAGGCCGCTGAGCGGCAGGAAAAGGGAGCTGGGCAGCGATTTCTTGGCGCGTGGTGGGGGGTCTCTTTTGGCCGGCCCCAATTTTTTTTTCAGAGGGGAATATCATGCCTGTAATTTTTGGCCTGTTTGAGGCCTTTTTCGGCCTCCCAGAGGTTCAAGGGAAGCCTCTGCAGCCTTTGGAGGCCAAAATATGGCCTCATTTTGGCCACTTCCGGTTTCTGGAAGTGGAAATCCTTTCATTTCTGGAAACATTTCTGGAAATCCTGGAAGTTGTGAAATGGGCCCGGTTTTTCAGCCTCCAAAGGCTGCAGAGGCTTCCCTTGAGCCTATGGGAGGCCAAAACGGCCTCAAACAGGCTGAAAATCAGCTGGGAGGCATGCACGTGCGTAGTGCAGGTAAGTTTGGCTGGGGCTCGTGTGCCTGCACAAATGGCTCATAGGTTCGCAATCACAGGAATAGACAATATATCCTGAATGAAGAAAAACATTTTTTTGATCAAGGCTGCCAAGGATTTCTAAGTATCAGTTCTCTTTCTAGTTAGAGAAAGGATTCCTGTTGAAATAGCCTGTCTGAAGCCATGTGTTATCTAAAGTAATGAAATCCTGAACAGTATGACTCCATCTTGTTTTTTTTTCTTTTGGTTCCTAAAAGGTGGAAAAAGCTGAGCGGGTGGTAATCGTAGGTGGCGGTTCTGCTGGGGTTGAAATGGCTGCAGAAGTTAAGACAACATATCCTAACAAAGAGGTATGAAGTCACATCCTGTCACTCAGTCACTGTGTTATTGCTTTGAAAGTTAAAATTCCTTATTATCCAGAGTCAACGAAGACTAAATGAGCAGCTACAAACTCTTAGAGTTGACACACACAAAAAAGAAAGAGAATAGATTGGATGCATTTTTGAGATACTGCCAAATCATACATAAGTATGAATGATATCAATTCAGTGTCAACTAAAAAGATACCCCTTTGGTCTTTTTAGCTGCCAGAAAAAGGGAGTGGGGGTAAACAGTGCATTCCTTAAGTGCCTAGATAATCGCCCTGGCAGCCCAAAGTTGTTGGAGTGCAATATTACTAGAGAGCATGATTGATGACTCTTGGCTATGGATGTGTTCCATTGGAGAATATACATCCGGCGGGTGGGGAGATCAGGGTCAAGGAGGAAATGAATGATGTATTTTAGTATCGGCTGCATTCAGTTAACATCAATATGGCCACTTCTAATAAATCAATTTTATTTTCACTGAGATACGCGGCTAGAGACTTATGATTTGAATGGGGGTAGATTTGTTGGAGTCCTGACATTCAGCTTCTAAAGCTCCTCCACTTTTATAAAATCTTAGAAACTATAATTTGGTTTACAATGGTGCTTCTCTGGGAATGTCTGTGGAGGCTAAATTTGTCTTTACGTGTGAACTGCGCATGGTGTAAATGCCTTGTCAGACCTTCAGAGGGTTGGGAAGAAGATAGGGGAGTAAGCTGGATTGGGGTGAGGTTGGGGGGTAGCTGTGTTGCCTGATTCAGTTTGGGTTTTTTAGAATGTGAGAGGAGTGTAGTTTTATTTATCTATATATCCATCCATCTTAGTCACAGAGCAACCCTGGGCAGTATATAGTTCAAAACATAAAAACCCTATAAAAGTCATATTTCAATAGGTGGCAGTTAAGACAAGAATAGAATACTTGAATTAAAAACATTTTTAACAGATTACGCCCCCCCACCCCCGCCCAAGCAGGAGACCCTACTCAGTTTCTGACAAATGGCAGTCCAGTCTCTTCTTGAAAGCTTCCAATGATGCAGCTCCCACAACTTCTGAATGCAAGCTGTTTCACTGGTTGATTGTTCTCACTGTCAGAAAGTTTCTCCTTATTTCCAGGTTAAATATCCCCTTGTTCAGTTTCCATCCATTATTCCTTGTCTGGCCTACAGGCTCTTTAGAAAATAGCTTGACCCCTTCCTCCTCTCTGTGGTAGCCCCTCAAATATTGGAAGACTGCTATCATGTCTCCCCTGGTCCTTCTCTTCACTAGACTAGCCAAGCCCAGTTCCTGCATCCGCTCATCATATGTTTTAGCCTCCAGTCCCCTAATCATCCTGGTTGCTCTTCTCTGCAGTCTTTCTAAAGTCTCAACATCTTTTTTTATAGTGTGGTGACCAAAACTGGATTTAGTATTCTAGGTGGTGGTGGGCTTTTTAAGACGGTAGCCAATCCCAAGGTTGTGTGTGGAGTCCTATGTGATTCAGCAGAGCCCGGTCTCCAAACTCTTCTGAAAGGCCAAGAGAATGGGAGGGATGCTGCTTTGTTTGTTAAAAACAGGGTTTGTTAAAAACAGATCATGCCAAACCAATCTTATTTCATTCTTCAACACAGGGACTAAATTAGTAGACCAGCAAAATACTGTGGACATAATATATTTATATTTCATCAAGGCATTCGACAAAGTAAACCACAACCTACTTCTTAGTAAGCTAGAAAAAAGTGGAACAGATAGCACCACCACTAGATGACTTGCAACTGGCTGGCAAACCGTACTCAACGAGTTGTCCTTAATGGGTCTAAGTCTACATGGAGGGAAGTACGCAGTGGGATGCCACAAGGTTCAGTCTTAGGCCCAGTACTCTTCAATATCTTCATTAACGACTTAGATGAGGGAATAGAAGGGGAGCTTACCAAATTTGCAGATGATACTAAGCTGGCAGGAATAGCTAACACCCAAGAAGATAGGCTCAAAATCCAGATGGATCTTGACAGGCTAGAACACTGGGCCATATCTAATAAAATGAAATTCAATATAGAGAAAAGTAAAGTCCTACACTTAGGCAAGAAAAACCAAAAGGACACATATAGACTGGGTGAAACCAGGCTCAATAGCAGTAACTGTGAGAGGGATCTTGGAGTCTTAGTGGACAACCAGCTAAATATGAGCTAGCAGTGTGCAGCCGCTGCCAAAAAAGCTAATGCAATCCTAACTTGTATTAACATAGGGATACAATCAAGATCAAGGGAAGTACTAATACCACACTATAAAGCCTTAGTAAGATCACACCTAGAGTACTGCATCCAGTTTTGTTCACCACATTATAAAAAAGATGTTGAGACTCTAGAAAAAGTACAGAGAAGAGCCACCAGGATGATGAGGGGACTGGAGATTAAAACATACAACGAACGGTTGCAGGAACTGGGCTTGGCTAGTCTAGGGAAGAGAAGGACCAGGGGAGACATGATAGCGGTCTTCCAATATTTGAGGGGCTGCCACAGAGAGGAAGGGGTCAAGCTATTTTCTAAAGCGCCTGTAGGCCAGACAAGGAATAATGGATGGAAACTGAACAAGGAGAGATTTAACCTGGAAATAAGGAGAAACTTTCTGACAGTGAGAACAATCAACCAGTGAAACAGCTTGCCCTTGGAAGTTGTGGGAGCGCCATCACTTGAGACTTTCAAGAAGAGATTGGACTACCACTCCTGCTTGGGTGGGGGGGGTTGGACTAGATGATCTATAAGGTCCCTTCCAACTCTGATTATCTGTTATCTGGGGCAGGGAGTATATTCCAAAGGGTGGGAGTGACAGAAGAGACGGTTTTCTTCCTACCCAGTTACTGTACTTCAATACCGTCTCACTATTTATTTACCTAACATTGACAAACCAATTTTATTGTCATTTTATCAAGTAGCAAGCCACTTGAAAAGAGTGATCTGTAAAGACTTAGGATAAAGAAGTTGACAAAAGCAGCAATCAAGGCTGATATGTATTTAAAACTTGTGAATGCTGTTTCTGTACTTTTTTTTGGAATTGATAAATTTTCTATGAAATCTTTTCCTTTTCAAATGTCTGGCTTCATATATATGTGCTATTCTTTAGCCGTCTGTATGTGACAATTTCTCTTCATTATTAGCAAAAAATTTTTTGCTTGTAATAGCAAAGACATAGCTTGCAATATTGTCAGAACTTTTTTGCTTACTTTCAGACTTTTTGGAAACATCTGGTCAATGTAGAATAACAATAATGATTTCATGTGTTCTAGCTACATTCTTATTTTTTTTTTACTTTTAGTTTGCTCCTAGTTCTGGACTATGAGCATGACTGATTATGCTCCTCAGCATGCCATCCAAGAGAGAAGTCTTAAAAATATAGCTCCCCATATTTTAGGAGAATTCTACTAGGCTTATTTTCAAGTAAAAATTTGTAGGACTGGAGGCTAAAACTTAATAGATATGAATGAATGCTCACATCAATTTTTCCTGCTACCCACTTTGCTAATTATTAGTGTACTTCTTGTGAATAACTGAATTATAAAGGGAACTGAATACAGCTTCTCATGTAAGGCAGAAACATCCAATACATTGTCTTTTTGACTATTGGAATTTCTGGCCCGTAACATTTAAGCTTCATCTCTTTACCAAAATGTTGCAGAATTTGATGGACATCTGAATTTAGGTTCGGAAAAGCACTATCGTCTTCTCACAGTGAAGTTACCCCATGACATCTGGAACATTACATGGCTTTTCAGTGGCAAAAAAGTATCTACAATGGCTGGCTGGGGAATTCTGGCAGTTGAAATCCACAAGTTTTAAAGTTGCCAAGGTTGGGCACCCCGATCTACCGTAATCTTGCAATAGGGCAATGGATGTTTGCTAAATAACTTTCACCAAACGAATGTGCTAATATTTATGTTCTCAGGTCACACTTGTTCATTCAAAAATGGCACTGGCAGATGGTGGACTTCTTCCTAGAGTCAGGGAGGCGGTGAAGGAGACCCTTACACAGCAGGGAGTCCATCTCTTGTTGGGTATTGAGTTTTGTTCTTGGTCTAACTTTTTTTTTTCAAGATCACTAAACCCTACAGATGGCCTTTTCCAGTGATAGGGAACCTACATCAAGGCTCTGATTTTTGCTGTGCATTTAAAGGGATATGTAGTATTCCAGATGGTGGTCAAAATATACTCTATCTGATCTCTATAGGACCCAAAGAACATATCACTGGACAGATTTACCAGAGATTAGAGGCAGATTGATTTGACATTTTAAAAATTCTATTTTTAATGCCTTATTTTCATAGAAAGAAAATAAATGCTTTGAGCCTAAAGGCATAAAAAAGACACGTGGCATACAAACAATATAGCTTGCACATTATTTTCTACCTTAGGTATGATCTAGATATTTCTATACCTAAAACTAAGGCTGTTTCTTGTAAGACCTGTTGCATTTGGGTATGATGACCAAATTCAAAATAAGGTACCCTTTAGTCAAGTGTAACTACTGTAGTGGGTTTAGTTTCTTTGTTAAAATACACAAGAGCAGTATCTTGGAAAGGAAGCATCGCTTTTGCTGCTGTACATTTGATAGATTTGTAAGTTTAGAGGCTTGCAGGTCCATCTTCAAACTGAGGCATGCATGCAATGTTTCCTTTTCTGCTTGATGAAAAATATCTCCTTAAAACTGGCCTGTACATGTTAGATGTTAAAGGCCTGTTGGCAGTTCCATTTCATATGCATTGGAGGGAGCACAGGAAGAGGAGATGCAAGTTCGTTAAGGAGTGGCAACAGCTACGATGTGCATGCTTACACATGCTCTGAATACCTTTTCCCTACTGAATTTAAATAACTGTACAGTCATTAGAAGTCCCAGTAAACTGCTTTTACCCCCTTTTTTTTTCTAGGCAAAGTACCTTACAGTAGAAGGGCCATAGAACTGATTCACTTCCCCTTTTCTCCAATTTCATGACATTTATCCCCTTCTCTTCTGCCTTTGATGATACACCAGGAAGATCAAATAGGGGATGTGGCTCTACAGGTAGTCCTTGACTTACAACAGTTTGCTTAGTGACCATTCAAAGTTACAACGGCATTATAAAAAACGACTTATGGCCATTTTTCACACTTTATGATTGTTGCAGCATTCCCACGGTCACGGGATCCAAATTCAGGTGCTTGGCAATGGGCATGTATTTCATGTTGATTGCAGTGTCCGGGGGTCACATCACGTTTTGTAATCTTCTGACAAGCAAAGTGAGGGAGCCAGATTCATTTAACTTAACTGCAGTGATTCACTTTAACAATTGTGGCCAGAAAGTTTCTAAAATTGTTCTGACCCAAACCTTGTTCCAAGGAAACAAACACGAAATGGAGGTAACAGCAAAACCTTTTAAGGATTCTTTACGAATTCCATTCCTTCATGGTTAAAAGGCTATTAAAACTAATTGTCTCTGATAAGAACGAGCCTTGCCAAGGTGCAAGGCTGCCAAGAACACTAGATAAAGTTGCCAAGAAATATTTCAAATATTTCAAACACAAAGAGTCTCCAAACACCAACCAAGATACTCCGAACGTCCACAAGGCTTGAGTGCAAAAACTTCTTTGCTTCCTGCAAAGGACTCTGGTTTCTCAACTGGCTTTTATCTCTTAAGGGAGGGGCCATTACCTTGTAGCCTTACTCCCAAGTCGCCTGTGCTGCTGCAGCTGCTCTTTCCTTCCAGCATGCGCATTGGGCACAGGCTCCTCGGAGGCCTCTGCATCACTGCTGCCAGCCTCCATAATCTCCAAAGGCAGCATTCCACTCTCCCATAGGTCTGAACCCATTCCTGCATCACACGCAGGCCCCTCATCTGAACCCTCGCTCTCTGAGACCTCAGCCGTCCTCACCTGCTGCTGGCGAACCACAACAAAAATGGCACAAAACTTGCATAATGGCTGCCTTGCTTAGCAACAGTTTGGGGTTCAGTTGTGATTGTAAGTCAAGGACGACCTGTGGTAGATAGTCCTGGATTCAAAACTTACTCGGTTTTTTTTAATGATCACCGATTACCTTTTTTCTTGCTTTGTATAAGAAATAATTGGTCATGCCTTGTCATCTATTTTTCCCATCCTAACAGGATAATCTAATCCACTGCTTTAATTTCAATTGCATCGGCTAAAACTGCTTGTTATATTTTGCATGACGAGAAACAAATTGTTTTGCTTCATAATTAGGAGAGACAGGTGGGATTAAAGGATGGAAAGCTGGATGTTTTTAATTAATAGAATTAAAATTAATCAACAAGCCGTTAAGTATAATATCTTAAAGCCAAAGTACTGTAGGTATTATACCTTCAAAGTTCAGTGAAATGCAGTGTCTGCTTTTTGGTTCTCCTAATAGGTCAGAAAGTTTCTAATCTCCATATGCTGTCTTTAAACCAATTCAAAGAGAACATGATGGTGAAGACTGATAAAGGTACAGAGGTTGCTGCTGATCTGGTCATTCTGTGCACTGGAATAAAAATAAACTCTTCAGCATATAGCAGCGCATTCAGTAAGTTAATTTTGTCCACAAATTCTTAATTATTGCAGGTTCCACATTCTATTTCAAATCCTAGCTATCATTCTTTATCAATATTTCAGTATTTTTTAAAAAAATGATTGACTATATTTCATTTTAATACTGCAACCTTTTTAAATGAACAGTTGGAAGATTATTCACAGGGTTGGCTCTTTCATGAAATAAATAGAATACCTTTTTTCATCAGAGATATGTTTGACATGGCAATATTATATGCACACAGCTTGGTGTTAAATGCAATAAGGTTTAAGAGCCAGTTTGGTGGTCTGGTTGGGACACCAAGCAGGAAAGCAAGAGACCAGAAGTTTACTGGCTGATTTTGGGCCATTCTCTCTCAGTCCAATCCACGTTACAGGGTTGTTGTTGTGGATAAAATAGAAGGAGGAAGGTATATTTGCCGCCTTGAGTTATTTGTAAAAATAATAAAAAGCGGAATACAAATAAAAGCAGATGTATGTATGTATGTACCGGTATGTATGGTGATAGGGTATAAAAAGAGCATAGTGATCTTTATTTAAATAGATTTGCTGTGATTGTGATTCATGATCCAACCCATTTTTCAAAATGGAGACTTCCGCTGAATAAAGTAGGCAAACATAATATTTTATGTGTATCTCAGATTTCATCTTATTTGAAATACAAATAGGATTTTTTTTTTTAATACTAAAAAAATCAAAAAGTGCGATGACCCATATGATACTAGTACATGTAAGCTTTGTGCTAGCCGCTGACATTCATAGATGACTTCCTTGTGTCCAATATACTTAGGAGACCAGCTGGCAAATAATGGTGCTTTGAAAGTGAATGACTACCTTCAGGTTGTGGGATATGACAATATCTATGCCATTGGTGACTGCTCAGATGTGAAAGAACCAAAGATGGCATATCATGCTCAGCTCCATGCAAACGTTGTGGTGACTAATATTATCAACAGCCTGACTGAGAAGCCTCTGAAAATCTATAAACCAGGTCAGACTATGAATTACATCTTTTGTCTCTCAGAGATGCACATCCTTAACTAAAATGCAACAAATATTTCTCCGTATCTAATTCAAAATCTAATAGTATTTTGAAGCTAGAATTGCAGAGAGATAATTAGATCTGATACACTCTTGTGCTGTTGTTTTGTACAATATTTTCAATGTTTCCTAAACAGAATGGATGTTGAATTGGAAAATAGAAAAATCAATACGTAAACCAATTGTTGGCATGGATTGGTATACTCTTAAAAAAAATCCTCCTAAGATTCTAAAGAGAAATTAAAATAATTAATACAAACACTAAAGCTAATGGAAGTACTGTTAGCGCTTCAGTCTAATATCTTGGTAACCTCCTGAAAAGTATTGATCAAGCCTAATTTTTTTTTTAAGAAATCCACACAAGCTTTCCAACTGTGGAAACTGAGTTATTAGAGCCAGTTGTACTCTGGCAAGTTCAGATGGTGAGTCAGATAACAGTTTTGTTTCTTATTTTGTAAATAATCTTGTGCTTCCTCTTTAGGATCGCTTACCTTCCTTATCTCCCTGGGAAGTAATGATGGAGTGGGACAAATAAGTGAATACTATGTAGGACATCTTTTAGTGACTGTTCTCAAAAGTAAAGATCTTTTCATCTCAAAAAGTTGGAAGAAGATGCATCAGCATATGCCATGCTAGGAATGGAACTGCCATAAACAAAAACAGAACCGATGGTACCTGTGATGAATTAGTGATGCGGATTTTGCTTCCATTAAATCACAATTACTTTTAGGAAACTAAGCTTAAAACCTAGATTGTAGATTTTATCAGATCTTGGCAGAAACTCTTTCACATTAGAGTTTGGAGTTGGTTTGTATGTTGTTAATCAGCTAACATGGATATGGTAAAATTGATCTAAATTAAATTTTGAATGGAAGAATTGATTATCATGTAAGTGTAGACCACAAAACAAGGTTTAGGCTCAGAAATTTTCAGTGCTAGATATATCTACGCAGTGTACTATGGTGTGCTATGGTCTGTATAAGCACTCTTAAACATTCTTTAGCACTTTAATTCAAATTCTTATGGGAAAAGAGTTAGTGATGGGGAAAAATACCAGTGCCCTTAAGGTTGAGAAAAAAGGAGAAATGTAACTAGCACTTGAATATACTATTAAAGGGCTCCCTGTGCTAAATCAGTATTCTGTAAAATAGTATTTAATTGTCCTTCCTTCCTTTTCTCTCCATCATTTATTCATGTCAGATTCTCTAATATTTGCTCATATTAGTAAAGTTGAAGAGACAGTCTTGCAGCTCCCTCTTCCTTTGGCAAATACTAATTGCAATGTTGAATTTGAGAATATTAACAGAACTGTCTTCTTCTTCCAAGAAACTTCTTACTTTTGAAGCCACTTTAAATGTTTATGGAAATGAACAAGAATAATACACAAGGTTAAAGTTTTAAAAAAGCATGATGCTATTTTTTTATCAAAACAAATAAGATGAAATATTTTTTCAGCAATTACAGGTCATTCTGGGATAAAACAGTAAAGCACCAAGTGAGTCAAAATTATCTTCTCTATCATGGAACATAGACACAACATAAAGATTTCTAACTACCAGTGGGAAAATAAAGGGAAGCAAACAATCCACATTTTTCAACTGATGGATGCATTGAATTGTTTGCTACTCTATAATGAGATTATTTTTTTTAAAAAAAGTCTAAACTAAAATAACTTGAGACATTAAAATGTAGTGAATTGGGAAAATAATTTCTTGGGGAAGATACAAAATGTAGAGGGCCTAACGCATGATATATCTGCAGCTCAAACTCTCTCAAACAATTCCCCCCTTTCTCCCTCAATAACAAAAGCCCTTCACCCATCACAAAACTTCAAAGCTACTCACATATTCCGTCCTCACAATATTTTAAAAATAAAACCCACTTCTAATTCCCATTCCTACTCATATTCATGTTGAAAAATAAATTTTCATTTGGCTTCTGTTACTACTTTGCATCTAGCTTTGCCATCTCCTGCACATAGATGCCAATGCTCTCACTGTCAAAAAGCAGAAAGTAAACGTTCTTCAAGGAAGAAGGACTGGAGTCATCAAAATGGGAAGAAATGGCTTTCAGAGTCACCTGGGCTGCAGTCTGCTTTGGAAAACAATTTCTAAACAAAGAAGGAAAGTTTGTAATTAATGTTCAAGTAGCAAAACATTCAGCCTTAAATGGTGAAACAATATATAATTGTTATATATTGTAAGTAAATAACTAATAAGCTGAATCTTACTTAGGGTACTCACCCTGGTTTTTCACAAATTTACTGGGCTCAATGCCAAGTAATGTACAGATTCATCCCTCTAGGTAGATAATTTAAGACAAGGTTTCAGGCCATCCAAATGTAATAGCACTCAAAAGAAAGATGTTAGTGTGGACTGACTGGTAAGAAGCAGAGATGTTGGGAAAAATGCTGGCAAATAATCCAGTCAAATATAAGGTGGGAAAATGGAAAACTGAGTTTAAAACAAATAGATCAAAGTAATTACTAGTGCATGGTAAAGTAAATGTCTGACTCTAGAAGGTGGTGCTCATCTCCGTTTCTTAGCCGATGGAGCCTGTGTTGTCTAGAGAGTTATGCGGCCATGTGGCCAGCAAGACTATTTGTTGAGGTGCATGGAACATACCTTCCCACTAAATGGTACCTATTTATCTACTTGATTTGCATGCTTTCAAACTTCTAGGTGGATAGGTGCTGAGGCTAGTAACAGGAATTTGAACCCAAGGCAGTTGAATCTTGGACACAGATTGTCAGTTTTCCAGTTGACGAGCTTAGTGTCTTTAACTGTTGAGCCACCACTTTGGAAATGCAGACGCAATCAAAATAATGTGATCAAAAGGAGTTTCCATAAAATACTCCTGTATGAGCCTATTGGGCCCCAAAGTTTCAAATATAAGATGCAACATGAAACAAATAAAATTTAGCAGTAAGTTATGGCAACTGAAAAAAAAATCACCTACTAAATATCTATATATCATGTAGTATAGGGAATTTTTCACAGTGTATGAAAGAGATTTATGCTGGCAAGCCTACCAGTTATTTCCTTAAATATGTCACAAAGTGTTAATTTGTGCTAACAAATGTATGTCAATAGAGGATATCTGCTGTTTGGATAATAGTTCTTCCCGGGAAACCTCTGAAGACCGTTTTTAAATACCACATACAAGACCATGCTAGACTGAGATATATATTTCAATTAGATGTTATAAGACCAGTTGTTACCAGCTATTTTCTTAAATGTATCACAAAAGGCATATGCTAATTCTATTAAGATATTTATACAGTAAATACCTGCCACTGGGAAAAGGTGGAAAAGCCACAGACTTCAGCTTCTTATCTTCAGCAGCAGTTAAACAATTCTTTATTGTCTCCTCCAGTTGTTCTTCACATTTGTCTGAACCCCATTGTGGGATGTGACAGTGAATGACAAATTTTGCTGCTAGACCAGTAGCCTGACCAAGAGCAGCTGAAGGGGGGAAATGAGTCTATTACCTTAGGCAGAACTATATAATTTATATTTCTCTTTCCCATAACCTTCAATTGGACATCACAGGACAACAATTTTCAAACCAAGGTACTTCAAATAGGCTAATTTACAGAGTGTATCCAAAATCTGGGACCCATCATTCCCATGGACTTGAAAATTGACAAATTGTATAAAACCTTTTATGACATTAAAATGATCATAAAACAGTTTATGACATAATGCAAAATGTCATAAAACATTTCCTGTGCTGAGGTTTGTGCTATCCAATTCAACATGGTCTATTTTTAAAGCAGATCCACCTTTGAATATATCCAACTTTTCCAGGGAAGGCAGCACATAAGAAGACCTGTCATGGTCAAAGGCACTGAAATATCTGGTAAGGAAATATGTCTGAAAAGATGAGGCAACAAGGCTCATCTTTAACACTTCACTATTATTTTTCCAGCAAAGCCCAAGAAATGGGGATGGAGCTGGACCCTTTGCCATTCCATTCCCTATCCTGCACTGACTTTTCCTCATGAGGAACATGTTTATTTAAAACATTTGGATGGCTGCCCAACTTAAAACCAAACTCTGTGGCTCATAACCAAAGAATAAAACAATTTATATATAAGCAATAAAAACAAAGCAATAACCTCCACCCACCCCCCAAAAAACCAGAAATACCTGGTACTGTATTATAATCAGTTTTTCTCAATGTACTCCACATTTTCCTCTTACTCCAACCATATCCCCTTCCCAATAGTTGTGGGGGAAAGCTGGCTTTTAAGTACTTTCCAGAAGGTTAAAAGGGTAGGGGTCTGCCAGAACTCCAACTGGATAAGGGTTGAAATGGAAAAGGCACTCTCTTTAGGTCCCTCAAGAAGGCAACAGACTTGGAGTGTGCCTGCCTTATTCACTTATTCAATCTGCTGAGATGGGCTGACAGTTGGGAAATGTAGTCCTGCAAATAATATGGTCCTGGGCCATGTAGGGCTTTAAAGACAATAAACAGCACCTTGAATTGCAGCTAGGAGTCAGTGCAGCTTGTGCAATGTGTGTAAGGTGGTTTGACAGCCAATACAGCTTGTGGTGTAATGTAAGCGAATGTATTAGTGGTTGTACACACTGCTGCATGAAAGATCAAGGCAAAGGTTGCTGATTTGGCTTCAATTTCTACTTTTTATGCTAACTTTGGAATTGGGACTCCCATGCAATAGTGAAAAGAATTCTTCCAGAATTAGGAGTAAAGGTTGTCATTTCTTGTACTGCCAGGATGGAGGCCCCATATATAAATTGGGGATTCAGAATTTTTTAAAACCTTGCCTTCATGCTTTTCAACATAGAAAATGAAGTACCATAAAATAAATATAAATTGGCTTAATTGGTTTTATCCTAGCCACCAAGCAAAATCATCCCATCGTTGTTTATATAAGGGCTCTGACATTTCAGTTCTGCCAGGTCAAGCAGCCTATATACTAATGCAGCAGTCCCCAGCCTTTCTGGCTTGGCAGCCCGCCCCGGGGGAGTGGGGGGAGAGGGTTCCTTGTGAGTAGCAGGTGTGCATGCGAGAGAGTGCGCAGTTTTGTGTGACTGGTGGGTGCGTGTGCTCACTACTCACGCAAAGGGAGGTTCATCTGCAAGCGGGAGTAGTCATTGCTCACGCAAGGAGAGCTTCGTATGTGAGCCTAATATGGGGGCAGAGGGCAAGTGGCTGCCGCTTGTGTGGGGGCACCTTTGCACATGAGGGCAAGGGACCACTGCTCACACGTCAGGAGCTTCATGCATGTGCATGCTGCCTGCACGGCCTGGTTCTGAACAGACTGGGCCTGGTAGTGGGCCACAGTCCAGGGGTTGAAAGCTTTGTGCTAATGGATGGACCGTCATTTTTTTTTAATGTGGGAGAGAATTAAAATTTCCTTTTTCTTGCTTAAACTGATGTATTGGAGATCAACAGAACCCCCACTGACTTTATTGCCACTACCTGAAGACCAACTTGAAACTGAAGATGTTCAAACACCAACTCTACATATAATCCTTTTCCACTCTGTTTTTTACAGAGTCATCCAAAAAAGATGCCTTCTCTGAAATGCTTAAGCATCTTTTAGATTAATTTGATTGCCCTAATAAAGGCATTACCCACTTACTTTTTACTGATTCCTCCCCCCAGGCTGGTATTTTTAAAAATGCGACTAAAATAGATTTTACATAATTAACAAAGATCTTACTTTCCGTGACTTCCAAAGGTCCCTGTGATTTACGAAGTTCCTTTACCGTTTCTAAGAACTCTTTACCACCAGCTTTTTCCAATGCTTTGCCTGACCAGAAAGAAAACAAAGGAAGGCATGTTTCTATTGCAGTTCTGAACGGGTCTGAACATGTATTCATGCAGATATACAGATTCATATTGAATGGTCAATCATTACTTTGGAATTGATTCTCTCATTACAGTTTTCTTTTATCATTGACAATAAAATATTTATCATCTGTGTCTTTATATATGTGTGTGTGTTTGTGTGTGTGTTGCCAACAATAGTATCTTAAAAGCTTTTATACATGTATAACATTTATAACATTCCAGTGGGACTTAGATGTATATATATAAAACATACTTTTAGTTGTCTGTAATACTTATAGTACTTTCTAGAACAAAACAATTATATTTCCTATTTTTAACTCTTATCAAAAAGTTTAAAGACTAACAGATTCAGTAGTTCCTACAGGAAAAAAAATACTATTCAGATGTTCCAAGTATTTCTATTTGCTTCAAAATAATTTTAGACTTACCTACTTCCTCTTTGAGGTCTATTTCACCAGTAGTTGGATGCACAATACCTTCTACTTTCATTGAACCAATATGGTTGATGTCACTTTGTGTCAAAGATAACTGCAAAATGACAATGCAACAGGAGCAAAAACAAACAAACAAACAAACAAAAACAAACCTAAATTTGAAGATTATGATCTAGTGAAACTAGACTCCAAGAAACTTGTTATAAAAGTCTTATAAAAAACTTTGTTCCCAACATGTCATCTAGAAATAAGGACTTCACTATCCTTCTTTCATGAACTTGTTTTCACTTTTTTCAATTATTTATCATTTTATTAGTTATCAAATATATCCATCCCATAAATTGGGCTGGGCAATATCTTTAATTAATTCTGAACTGTATGAAATGTCTTCCTTCCTGTAAACTATTTAATTGATATAATTAATTTAACTTCATCTTGTAATTTCTAGGCTCTTCTGTGTGCTGGTTGCCTTGTGAAAATTAGCTATGAACACAGCAACAAGTTTTATAAAACCCAACGGTATTTTATCTCTATAATTAAAAAAAAGTATCGAATCATCCCACCTCTAGAGTTGCCTGCCAACTTTTAAAGCCAATCATCCAACCAGTCTTGTTACACATATGCACAGCAATAGCTGGGCCTCCGGGTATATGTTTCCGCGGGATATGTAGTGACAGTAATACAC